ATAGTTACATATATACATATGCAATATTCATATTGATTTCGTCAAACACATTCCGTACATTATAGTCGATTAATAGATTTTAGAATTATTGATTGATTGAGATTTGAATGCGGAGAAAGTATATCTAATTATCAATATCTTTATTTATCTATCCATCTCTATCTATCTATCTATCTAGGTCCAGTATCATGCCGGGAAGAAGAAGGAGGGGAACTCCCCCCGTGTTGAGGGACTTCTCAAGGACCTGGAGAGGGATGTTCAGAGAAGGGAGAGATTTCTCAGGTGCAAATATAAATAGAGACGATCAACCAATCTATCATTCAATAAACTAACAAATCAATCAATCATTTTATCAATCAATAAATCATCCCTTTTAAAAATCTAATAAGTTTTTAAAAAATTTAATAATGAATGAGGGATTGTGGTATGATAAATGAAAGGATGAATAAATGAATTAATGAATGAAAGAATAGGTGAATGGATGAATAAATGAATGAATAAAATGATGAATATCTAGGGAATGTGGTAGGATGGTCCGAGTGCACCCTGAGCTAGAGGGTGAGGTTAGCTGGCGACTGGAGCATGTTATCAGTAAATGGGATATGCTAACTAATCTTAGGTAAATTTATACCAATAGAAATAATCCACAGGGTTACCCACAAAGGATGAGACTGTAAAGACGACTTGAAAATCATTCAATATGAAAATCCTAAGTTGAAATTTAAATAGTTTTTTAAAGACTTATTTAATGATTCGGCAAAGAATGTAACAAGTTTACAGTTGCAGAGAGTCGTAAATATAAGAAAACAGAGTCCGAATTTAATGAATTTGACCCGCGTTAAAAATCCGCCAAAACCAATAAAAATTAAGCGCCGGCTTAAATCTTGAAACATTGAATACAATTTTCAGTGGAACCAACCATATTCGAGCCGCGCTTAAATTTAAACCGCGGCCCAAATTCTTTAAATTCGGCCTCTGACAGTGTCGCACAGTCGTCTCTGAGTATGAAGTCTCATCCTTTGTCTCGTGTATATCTCGGGATTAAAACTTGAAAAGAAACAGTCCTTATTTCAAATTGAAAAAAAGATGTTCCTTTATTGAATCGTCTTAATATCAAAAATAACTTTGCCTCTATTGAAAGCCTAGTGCTCTGGGCAGTACTTACATCGTGTGTTTACATTCCTCCCATAAACTGCAGTACACTTTATTCCATGGGAGTTCGTTTTATATTCCTTGTACACATTTCTTGCTAAAAAGTCACCAAAAACGTGTCTTTAAACGATCTTAATGTTTTGTGTGCTTTAAATATATATAGAGTGAGAAGCAGAGAACTGTGGAATAAAAACAACTTTTTAAGTGAAATGGTCTGTGTACACTACACTACTGCTGTGTATCATATTCATCTTACTGTTTAAATTAAAACTTGAGTCTTAAAGTCGTCTTCTTCCTATTCCACAGTTTTATTGAAAGGAAATTTTAATTTTGTTTTATTTTAGAACAAAAACTAGAAAGAACGAATCTGATCTGCCAGATATATACTCAGGTAATAAATAAACCTCATAGATAAGAGAAATTATAAAGAGTAAAATTAAAAATAGAGAAAAAAAACTTAACTCGCCTTGGTATACAAGTTTTAAAGTTCTGCTAAATCGAATATAAGTTTTTTTTGTGATCTAAATAAGTGCCATTATCTTAATCAGATATTTACTCTTGAACCTTAATCTTAACATTAATAGGAGAAAAACTGTGTGGTCATATTTAAAAACTGATAAGTAAGACCTGAAAATTTTTGCATTAATGTTGAGATTAAGGTTCAAGAGTAAATATCTTTAAATCACAAAAAAACTTATATTTAATTTAGCAGAAGTTGAAAATATTTAAAGCATACAATATCAGGCTGCAAAGACATATGAGGAATAGAAAATTAGAGTTAAGTTTTTTTCTGCATTAATTAAAAAGAGAAACAAATCTCCGAGTTTTCTTTTAATTCTGATGCTTTTTGCTAAAGATTTTAGGAAAAGGAACTAAACACTTGTCTCAAACTCAAATTTTTACTTGTATGATAATGTAAACCTTCAATATTCCTGATATTGATCTAACAGAGTTTTAACAATCTAAGGCATGCACCTCTGACCCTTCAGTAAAAGTAAATTCAACCTAAAGCCTGACCGCGTCAACCTTGTTGCACCATGCAGCTAGTCCTATAGAGTGTCTGCTTTATTTACTTAATGTCCGGGCGATACAGTACAAACTGGGACCGGAAAAGTTGACTTGGCTCGGAAATTCAAATGTACTACAGCTGCCCGTGAAGGTCTACAACGAATCAAATTTAAGAAATAAAAAGACATATTTAAACCAGAGGAGGCCGAATTTAAAGAATTTGAACCGAATTGCTGAACCTCCAAAAAACCGGTTCCAATTGAACACTGGCTCAAATCTCGAAACTCTGAATACAAGTGGAACCAACCATGATTCAGCAGCGTCTCTAATTTGATACGCGGCTCAAATTCTTTTAATTGGCCTCGGGTAGATTAAGTTAAGCCTCTTTTAGTTTGATCCAGCGCAATAGAAAAATTTAGTCCACGTGGTTCAAATATGGTCTCGTTATTCAATAAAGGAGTTGAGTCTTTGCCACAAACTCTGATTTTCTAATCCTTATAGTTTTGAAACCTTGCGAAATAAACCTTTGATATTTCAGACTTTAATTTCTACTAAATAAAATAATCTCAGTTTGAAATATCAAAGGTTTACATCATCAGGTTGAAAAGATATAGGGATTAGAAAATTTGAGTTTGTGAGAAAGTTGCAAAGATTTAAAGTTTCTGAAGTTGTTTTAGCACAAGTAATCAGTTCCTTTACCTGGGAAACCCCTTGGTTTTCTAGTGCAGTATACAGATTTTACTCATACTCAAATACTCAATAAAGAAACATTGGATTAGCAAAAGTTTGCGGAATACAAAAGCGAAGTAATTGAGTCTTTGCCACAAACTCTGCTTTTCTAACCCTATATCTTTGGATTCCAATGTCGTAGACCTTAGATATTTCAAACTATGAATTCTGTTAGATCAAATAATGTAAGTTTGAAATATCAAAAGATTTGCGACTTTGGGTTCCAAATATATAGGGATTATAAACTCAGAGTTTGTGGCAAAGTCTCAATTCATTTGCGCACAACTCAGAAACCCTAGACTAGAATAAAAATTCCTCTACAGTACCTCAAATTTAGATATCGAGCTGGAGGTGAGGTGCTTGAGAAAGTGGTTGAAGGAGATGGAGGTGAGGATCAACCCTGTCCAATTCAACAAGGCGGAGGAGTGGAACACCAGGGACAGGGAGAGGAAGATGGCAGAGTACCAGGTATTTTAACAAGAGATAAACACACAAATTTGTCAATGATCAGTCCGAGGTTTAAAGGGTAAATTGAGTATTTCCATCTTTTTCGTTTTTTCACACCCTGCAAGGAGGGTCGCTTAAAATTATGCTAACAGTTTCTTTAAGTCTAATTTATAAATACTAATGGCTTAACTTTAATAATCGAAAAAAATGGATTTCCGGAACTCTAAACTCGAGTGTTCCTAGTGCACTGATCAATTTCTGGGATTCTGAACTCGAGTGTTCCTAGTGCACTGGTCAATTTCTGGGATTCTAAACTCGAGTGTTCCTAGTGCATTGATCAATTTATGGGATTCTAAACTCGAGTGTTCCAAGTGCACTGGTCGCTTTCTGGGACTCTAAACTCGAGTGCTCCTAGTGCACTCGATTAAAGTTTTTTTGGGAAACTTCTTATATGGTAGAATATATATAGACCAAATTATCTATCTCATAGGTACTACAGACGGATATAGAATCCCATGGTCGCATAGTAAAGTTGGTTCTGGGTCTCTGTGAAGATCTCTCTTCAAATCCGTTCCAATATAATCGTTTATTCAATCTTACACAAACTTGCCCAAATTCAGATGGATGGGGGGGGGGGGTGGAGAGTCACATATTTGTCGAATTGAAAAATAGAAACCATCAGGGAAAAAAGTGCTCTTAATAAGCTTTGAAATCCAAGCACTATAATTTGCGCGTAAAGAAACCGCGGAACAGTTACGTCAATTCAGGGGTGAATATTTTATACGTTTTTGGCCGAAAATAAGATTAGATATTTCCAAACTTGAGAAAAAATAATTTTTAAAAAATGTTATGAACGGTCCAATAATTTTATCATTTTTATCCATATCTAGCGAAGAAATTATGAACGGTCCCAACTTCACAAATTAAACCGGGAACGCCAGAAGCTAATAGCTTCATGTTTAGTTTTAATAACATCATTAAATATATTGTTTTGTCTAGTAAAGATACAGATACAAGTACAGATACAGATACAGATACAGATACAGATACAGATACAGATACAGATACAGATACAGATACAGATACAGATACAGATACAGATACAGATACAGATACAGATACAGATACAGATACAGATACAGATACAGATACAGATACAGATACAGATACAGATACAGATACAGATACAGATACAGATACAGATACAGATACAGATACAGATACAGATACAGATACAGATACAGATACAGATACAGATACAGATACAGATACAGATACAGATACAGATACAGATACAGATACAGATACAGATACAGATACAGATACAGATACAGATACAAATTTAACAATGGCCAATGCAAAATAAACAGAAGGAAAAATTCCTTTATATGCAACATTACTGATACGACTATGTGCTTTTAGCTTTACAGCAAGCGGAGTTATGACGAAAAACATACAAAATTTAGTATTTCGTTCAATATACGTTTGTTTAACGTGTGGCTCAATTCAAACTAGCATCGCAAATCTTAGAACTTAAGGAAACCAGCAAATGTGGAGTTTTACTGCGCATTCTTACAAACAATTCCGCGTTCGATTACATATCCTGCACTGTACACTCCTAGGAAGAACCTTTGTAAAATCGTGATTGAATGGGTTGGAAAGAAATACAAAGTCGGGTCATGATATCATGCATTAGACAGATGTGAAGGGGAGGTTAAGCTTAAAATCTCGCCCAAACTCTTTGCTTGCCACGGAAAAGTGTTAAACTTTCATTGATCTTCAGTGTTTAATCCCTAAGGTTTCCTTCATGCAGTGTCAGAAGTGTGCAAAATCATTTCGAAACGGTTATACATCAATTAGAAACGTCCTATATAAATATCCTCCCCATATAAGGAGACACCCAGAAATGTATGTAGAAAATAAGGGGGAAATATGTAAAAAAGGGAATTAAGAAGAAAAGAAGGAGTAAATTATTAAGAAAAAAGGGGGAATTATGTAGAAAAGAAGAGGAAATTATGAAGAAAAAAAGGGGGAATTATGTAGGAAGAAAACAATGTGGTATAATCTAGAAAATAAGGTGAAATTATAAAGAAAAAGAAGGGGGAATTAAGAAGAAAGGAAGGAGGAAATTATCTAATGAGGGGGAATTATGTAGAAATTAAGGAGGAATTATATAGATAAGATGAAAGGAATTATGTAAAAAAGAAGGGGGAATTATGTAGAAATGAAGGAGGGAATTATATAGATAAGATGAGAGGAATTATAAAGAAAAGAAGGGGGAATTATATAGATAAGATGAGAGGAATTATTAAGAAAAAAAGGGAGAAAATCAAAATCCAACAACTTAACAAAATAATGAATTTTCTTATCAAAAAGTAATTGAATTTTTTTAGAAAACTTTTCCAAAATAATTATTTCAAAGTATATAACATATATCTATTTCAAACTTTTTGAGTACAATTCAAATAAAATTATAATCAATTTGCACAAAAGTGAAATTCATGAAACAAAAAATGATAAAGGGATTAAAAATCCTATGTTAAGGGGTCCTTCAAATTTAATTTAATGCATATTATCAATTTATGAGTGGCATCACATCAAAACTGGAGTTCAAGGCATTTTTATTTCGGAGAAAACTATCCAAGTCAAAGAAATTGAGTCTTTGAAACAAACTCAAATTTTCAAATCCCTTTATCTTTGCAACTTTACGATGTCTACCTTTGATATTTTAAATTTAGATCATTTGTACTAATAGAGTTCAAAGTTAAAAGACAAAATCAGAGTTTGTGGCAAAGACTCAGTGAATCATTTTTGATAAAATCGTCATTGTGTCCGTGAACAATCTGTAACTAGTGATCTTATTGCAAGTGCTGCTGGGGGAGTGGGAGAAGGTGCTGGAGGAGATTTCCTTGAATTATCTTCATCATCAACAGATTTATCAGATACATAACTCAGTTCTCAACCTTAGGTACCTTATTCATTTTTACGGGGAGACAGATGACACCTTAAAATGTAAGCCTAATTTTTATATAAAGAGGACTTCCCCGCGATTCACAACGGTACCCTTTTAACCATTGACTTATCAAGGATGACAGACTTTTCCTTATTTATCGACAGGGTGTCCCGATAAACATGGGAACTGAATGACGATTTTGATATCGTCTTTTTTAATAAGGTTTTGATTTAGTATAGTTATACCTACTGAGAAAGCTGTAATCCGTAAAATTTTCATCTGCTACAGAGCGTCCCATATCATATTAGATTATCTTCAATCTTTAACGACAAAATAAATCTTTAATACTCGAAAAACTTATCATTTTCCGCAAGAAAATTCTTATATAAGCCTTATATTATTTTTCAAAATGATTCATTCTAATTAGATTTTCTGATTAGTCCCGAAAATCGTAATTTAGACCCGTTCTCGGTCTAATATGATGTGGGACACCCTGTATGTTTACAATTTGTTTGTCTGCATACAGTTGTACTTAGTAAAACAAGAAAATTACATTATACAAACAGAGTAAACTTGTCCGTCTTCACTGTTCATCTTGAGGAGACATTATAGACACATCTTTACAGCCATTTATTTTCATAAAATAAACTCTAGCAGACATAATAATATTATGGCTTTTGAGGTATTACAATGCTAATTCATAAGAAAGACGATATAGAATTTGTCACTGAATTCTCATGTTTTATAATGATTAACAAAAATATTTACGTAAAAATTTTTGAAAGCCGCGCGGTGAATGTATAATAAGCTGCGTTAAGTTCATGCAGTACGCTAGCGTACAGTACAATTGTACGGCTTTTTCGCTTATAGTCCCTTAATGACGACTTGCAATTCTTATAATGTTACGATCTAAAGATTTGTAAGGTTTGTAAAGACTGATTAAATTCCAAACCGTCGGCTCTAAAGTCTCATCCTTTGAGGATTACACTGCATTATTATTATTATTATTATCATTATTATTATTATTATCATTATTATTATTATTATTATTATTATGTTTATTATTTTTATTATTATCTACATTTGTTATGTAAAGCCTTGAAATTACTCAAAAAGCTTTTGTATTTTATAATAATACAACAAGCTTAATCGATTATACATTAGTATGTACAATTCTTTTTATATACTTAATTAAAATTTCACGCCTTTCATCATTTTGTTGTATAGCTAAAGAAATGGTGACATTAAACGTCGATTTTAATGGGTTGTTTCATAAGTGCAGAGAACATATAAAAAAATCTGATCCTCGGCTCAAACCTAACCCTTAATTTTCTAAACCCTGTATTTTTGAAGCCTGAAAATGCAAAGATCAATAGTCAACGTTTTAAGTATCAAATCTATTCAGATCTTTGTTAAGTTTCTTTGCAATCTTGAACTGACATGTTTTTAGATTTTTTGTGAACATTGTGAACAAGAAATTAAATAATTATGTCGAAATACGCATTTTGAACATTGTGAATAAGGAATTAAAGAATTATATAGAAATACGTATTTTTAACATTGGGAACAAGGAATTAAATATTTATATAAAAATACGTATTTTTAACATTGGGAATAAGGAATTAAAGATTTATATAGAAATATGAATTTTAAACATTGGGAACAAGGAATTAAGATTTGTATAAAAATACGTATTTTTAACATTGGGAACAAGGAATTAAAGAATTATATAGAAATACGCATTTTGAACATTGGGAATAAGGAGTTAAAGAAATATATAGATATACGCATTTTGAAGATTGGTAACAAGGAATTAAAGATCTATATAGAAATACCCATTTTTAACATCGGGAATTAAAATTTTAAGATTTATATAGAAATATGAATTTTGAACATTGGGAATAAGGAGTTAAAGAATTATATAGAAATACGCATTTTGAACATTAGTAACAAAGAATTAAAGATCTATATAGAAATACCCATTTTGAACATTGGGAACAAAAAATTAAAGATTTATATAGAAATATAAATTTTGAACATTGGAACAAGGAATTAAAGAATTATATAGAAATACGCATTTTGAACATTGGGAACAAAAAATTAAAGAATTTTGATTCGCATATTCATGTTTTCGATCAAGAATGAATGAGATATTCTAACTTTTCTAAAAAATGATTGTGTTTCAATTGTGGTTCAAATGTGTGTGGTGCAGTGACAAAGAATAACATTGTCAGAATTTAACAATTTTTTAGATAAGAAAGTAAAATTAAAGGGTCCCTTTTATGGGACTGCTTTAAACACGTAAAGGATATAAGGGTACCGTTGTTAATCTGGCATTCCCCTCTTCGAATGAAGGGTCACTTGAAATTACGCCTACAGTCTGTTTAAGTACACTTCATGTACATGACAATCTCTCTGATCTATGAATGTATAGGAAACATGATGATTGACAAATATGTTTGATTACAAAGGGATACAATTAATCTTTCCAGGGTTCTGTAGTCAAACCTGTCAATATTCACTTGGAACCTCACTACAGATAGAGAGAGGGGGGGGGAAATATCGCTTTTGATATTTTTCTGGCCAGGACTAAAAATCATTGCCAGCAAAAATATTTATTTACAGGGGTGTATGTTTTCTTGAAAATTTATTCTACATTCACCTTTCAAAAATAATTTCTTTTCCCCAGAAGTTAGTTATGTTTGTGCAAAAATTGTGTTAGGGTATTTTTTTCTCTAAATTAAGGAAAATATATGATTTTTAGAAGAAAAAAATAATAAAATTTTGGGATAAAAAGTATTCTGAAAAAGCTTGGAGGGATTTTTTTTTCGAATTTTAGTTTTGGAAAAACTGGAGATTTTCATGCTTGAGCTTTTCTTGATATTGACAGGCATTTGCTTTCCCTGTATTAAAAATAGTTATTGGCTATTCGTGATTCAAACATTTTCAGTAATACATTTATTTATAATCTCTACATCTTACACCTACAGTTTTTTCTTTCTTTTTGAGGCCAATAGCTTCTCAAAACCACTAAAAGGAAAAGAAAACATACTGCAAAACAGCAAAATATCTATCTGAAACTATAATGTGTGATAAGTTTAAAAATCTAGTTTTTTAGTCTTGAGTTTTTCAGGTCAAACAAAATGTTCGACTGCAGCGCGCCCCCTAATTGCCTATATCTGGCATTTCTAATATTTGTGCCCCCCCCCCCCTTTACAAATTCCTAAGTAGGGACCTGTCTGAAGCGCACACAATGACATAATGCGTCGTTAATTTAAAAATTGATTCACATGAATAATACATGATCTTGATATTTTTTGGTATTTTGTATTTAAATGTGATTGAGAGTTTTGTTTTGAATCTGTTTTTGTAAAAACCTGTAGCTCTTCTAATAAGGGTTGCAAACTTCAGGGTTGAATATTTTAAGCTTTGGTTATGTTCCTAAATCCTGACATTGTTAGGTCTAGTCCAAATAACACTTTTGGAAACCTTTTCCCCTGGACTTAAAAGGTTTGAGAGACTCATCAAGAGGGGGGGGGGGTTATGATTTGCAACTTTTTAACAATACAATCTGATTGAAAATATAATGTAATGCAAACACTAAACCTCCGTGTAGATGCATATAAAAACATTGGGCTAAACAAGTTGATAAATAATAAATCCATTGAATAAAAATGGCGGAAAGAGATTTCAACGATGTTTTGTGTTCAGGTTGCTAAATCCCTTGAGAAAAGATATCTGGATATATGGATCCGATCCCTTGAATGGCAGTGCTTACTGGAGCAGTGGATTCAGGATCCAAAAAAGGTAAAACTTAAGAGAACATTCCCTTTATAAATACTCACTACTCAGAATCCATTTTAATCTGTAAACATTCCCTTAAAGGATACCCGGTATCTATGTGACCTGGTGGATTCTGAAGAGGAACCTATGACGAAGATTCCCCGTCTAGATCAGCTGAATAGTACTCCTAATTTCTCCCCAGCTGCCACCCTGCTCAGGTATAGATTTTAGAGATACTCTAGTAGTGAGAAGTGGATGGAAATCTCCTTTTTTTTTGGTGCAAACTACATATGTTCTCGATGTATGTATAACTTTATTGTAGAAATAATCATGATCTTAAGAGAGTTGGGGGGGAACTGCTCCTTAGCCTTTTGGACTTAATTTAAAGTCCATGCCCCCCCCCAAAAAAAACATATTTGTTACCAATATCAACTAGAAATTCTTTTTCGGCTCAGCATTTTGCTGAAATGTATTTTATGTATTTTCCGTGGCCTTGGAGCCTGGAGGCTTTCATTTGATGTAAGATGAATAAAAGATGAAGTGCACTGAGGAATATACTTATAAATGTCAGGGCCTACCCCCTCTCCTCTCTTCACTCCCGTACAATCTACAAAGACACATTTAATTGTGGCAAACAAAAATTCAGACCAAAACAAAATTTCATTTTTTTACCTTAAACATTTTTGAACAATTAATAAAAGCACACTTTTGGAGAATACAATTTAAAAAAGATAAAAATCTCAAATTCTCCTGAAGTCCCTCATTAACACCTTTACTTATTTTTTCTTGGTATTTTTCAGGGTAAAGAGACGGAAAAGATGGATTCATTCTCCCCGAGAACTAGATCATACCCTGGAGATACGAGATCCTGCTGAGAGACGGCAGTCCCCCAGAGCTCGACGGCGGATAGTCGGAGACCGACGGCGGAGTGAAGACTATGCCCCAAGCGAGCCGGAGGAACAGTTACCGGAGACTTTAGAGATGAGGACTTCTGAGACCGAGAGCTCTGATCCATCCCCGAGGAGGACGGAGGACGAACAAACTCCAAGGACGGAAGATGAACGACTGATGAACAATTTGGCCTCCGTGTTGTTAAAGCTGGAGGAGCAGGAGCAGAAGGAATTGGAGAAGATGTCGAGAGAATCCGTCCCAGCTCCGCTAACCTACTGGGACACATCCGATGAAGAGGCATTTTCAGACACAGCCTCCAGAGAAATGCATCCTGCCTCCGATACAGTTCTTCAGTCCAATCTATCCATACACGCCTCCAATCTAAACCTAGGCTTTAGGACCGTATCTGAGACAAACCTTGAGAAAGATTTGCCTCCAACAGGAAGAAAATCATCTTATCCTCTGGATAACCAGAAACCTTTCCTCCACTCTACCCCGACCAGGACCCTATCCTACTCCGGGGGCGAGGGGAACCTTGAGGTATTCAGTCTGGACTCTCTGGAGATAACGGAGCTAGACAGCTTTAGGAGCACTAGACTCATCCTAGCAGGTTGGCTTGTTGTAAACTGATTCTAAAACGAAGTTTAGTTTGGCAAGAAACATGGATTTTATCCAAAAATTAGAAATTTTAAAATTTAAAATTTAAAAAAGTATTTTTTCTCAGGTTTTGATGATTCTCTGGAAGATGTTTCATCAAGAGATGTTTACCAGTCCAGAAGCTCTTCTCAGGTACTCATAGTTACTCCCACCGTTTACCCGCGCTTGGTCGAAAATTACTATTTTAGCATTTTGTATTTGATTACTGATTTATCCGCGGCACTTTCTCTTCTTAAATTATAATCAAATTATAACAAAACAAAAAATTCGCCTTTTTTTGTAAATTTAAAAAAATCAATTTTTAAATTATTTAATTGCAATTACTTCAACTTAAACTGGAAACCTTATAAAAATGTGAAAGCTTAAATATTTCTATTCTAGGATTTTTCTTTGGAAAATCTAGCACATGAAGAGAATTATCATCAAAGATTAAGCAGTTGTAGCAGCTTAGGCAGGTCAGCTCAGTTTGACCCTGCTAGTAGCTGCTCAGGACAGCTGCTCCGATCATCCTCTGGTGGGAGCAGCAGTGTTCCATCAGGAGCAGTAGATCAACGGAAAATTGGATTAGAACTTGGAAACTTTAACGCCCGGAAAGGAAAGAAAAAGAATAGAAGACGACTGGTAAGTGTTGGGAAATTAAAATATGCTTTGTCAAGAACTTACAATTTTTTCTTCTTCACATTTTAACCCAATGATTAATGCTGGCGGAGTTTTCTACCCTTAACATTTTCTTAACAAAATTCATTTTCATTTATTAAAATATTAGAACCCCAATTTAGGTGATAGAATAAAAGATATTTGAACCTGGTTATTAACTTATCTTCTATTTTGTTTGATCTCTAATATTCTTTGAAATTTAATCTGCTTGTTAACACTTTAAAGTCATATTTTGCAAAATTGTAGTTTAAAAATTCCAATCTCATTATTGTCATCTTGGTCAGAATTTGGTTCTAAGTCGTGATAGTTTTTATTTCAACCTTTGTCTAAATATTTCTTATTCTATACGCAATACGCTATTTGGACAAATATTACGATTTAGTTTTTTTTAATTAAAATTTCGTTACAACTTCTTTTCATGGGTGCCGCCGGATTTTCGAACATTTCTGGAAAATATGAAAATGTCGTCTTCATTATCAAAAATCCTCGAAACAGGAATGCATGTTTTAAAAAGTAACTCTCGGATCATAAAAAATAAAAAATAAATATTAAGTATACGAATGCGTCGAAAAAAATCGATGATTATAGGCTGTAATATCTGAATGATTTGTTTGGAATTAAATTGATTTTTTTACGATCCGAGTCGAATGTCGCAACTTTCTGAATTTGTATGGACACGACGTTCTTCGGTATTAGTTGTTTTAAACAATTTTCTCATTTTAGACGCAATAGATTGAAGAAAGATTAGTAACAATCACCGTCAAATATTTTAAAAAAAGTAATACATTTTTCTGAACACTTGTTAAAGAGAAAACAAACGATGTTTTTCTCACTGTTGCTCAGATGAAAGTGAAGTGAGTACCATAGTGAATTGGGCATACCAGTAGAAAAAAAGAGTACCCATTCCCTTTATTAATTTCGATTTCATTTATGAATTAGGGGGGGGGGCGGTCTGTGAAAATATTCTTATAAAAAGAATAAAAATAAAACTTTTGCAATCTTATCTTAGCTTTATTTAGATTCCGTCCTTCGGAGACGAAAGTCAGTCTGATATTGAGATGGACTCCATGTGTAGTGTACTCCTCTGCTCCAGCAGAGACCTGGAGTCCTTACACAAGAACATTGTCCGAGGGGAAGTTGATCAGTATGTAAGTTTTTAGATTTTGTATACAGGGTTACCCACAAAGAATGAGATGACTGCACGGAATTTATTATGTTTCCTTTATTCATGAATCTCTGCAACCGTAAACTCGTTTCTTTCTTTGTCAAATCATTAAATAAACCAATCAAAGTCAGAAGTCTTAATTTTTAACACATTCCTATCACTCAAAGATGCTTCAAAAAAAGCCGGTCAACTCAATAGTCTTTGTGAAATGTTCACAAATAAATGTTAAAAAAAAACCAATTTTATTTCATTTTTCTTGGTTTATTTATATTTGGAGTAGCAGCCGAAAAGTCAAACGAAAAAACAATCTATTTTTATTTAAGATATTTTCCAACACTGTAAATTTTTTCTGAAGAGTGATTGAAAAATAAAACGTGTTGAAATCCTTTTTTAAAAGTCTCACTTTTGGATGTAAACCCTGATTAAAAGTGGTATTGCTGACGTTTGGATCAATTTGAATTCCACTTTAACATTGAAAATTATTAGAACATTATACTTTTTCCTAAAGAAATTTTACTTTTTAAAACCAGTTTCATTCTTTTTTTGGGAGCCATTTAAAAATGAATTAACTTTTCCTTGCAATCCTATAGTCTTCTTTACATGATTCCCTTCAATTAAATGTTTTCCTTGCAATCCTATAGTCTTCTTTTCATGATTCCCTTCAATTACATGTTTTCCTTGCAATCCTATAGTCTTCTTTACATGATTTCCTTCAATTAAATGTTGAAAAAGTTGTAAATTATTTATCTTCTTTCATCCGATGTTTCGTGCATTTGAAAATTTGGAATTCAGGGATATTTTATTTTCATGTTTCTTTTAATTAGTCTATTTTATTTTAATATTGGAATTAAATTTTGAATTAAATTGTACTTTTAAAAGAAGAATAAAAATTTCCCTGTTGAAAGTTTTTTAAATATTTGATGAGGTCTCATTTTCATCTTGTTCTTTATTAATTATTTCTCCTCTTTTCCAGCTAGAATTTCCCATCAAATTTTAACTCGATTTAAAACCATTCCCAAATTTTAAATTTAATTCATTTCCATATGTTCAGTACAATTTTTTCCCATATAATCAATACATTCCATCCCCGTATTGGCAAAAAATTTATTCCCATATTGTCAATACATTTCCTTCCCATATTATCAATTCAATTTATTCCCATATTGTCAAAACATTTCATTCCCATATTATCAATTCAATTTATTCCCATATTGTCAAAACATTTCATTCCCATATTAATAATTCAATTTATTCCCACATTGTCAATACATTTCATTCCCATATTAACAATTCAATGTATTCCCATATTGTCAATACATTTCATTCCCATATTAACAATTCTATTTATTCCCATATTGTCAATACATTTCATTCCCATATTAATAATTCAATTTATTCCCACATTGTCAAAAAAAAACATATTTTCTTCCCATATTGTCAATACAATGCCTGTATACCTCATGTTTTTGTCTGAATATCTAATGTCCGTATATCTATTGTATAGTTTATATCTAATGTAAATCTCAATGCCTGTATGTCTGTTCATATAAGTTATGTCTGTATGTCTGTATAAATAATGTGTGTCTGTATAAATAATGTGTGTCTGTATATCTTAGTATGTCTGTATATCTTGTGCACGTCTGTATATCTTATTTATGTCTGTATAACTTGTGTATGTCTGTAAATCTTGTGTATGTCTGTATATTTGTATGTCTGTATTTATGGGTATAAATTGTATAACTATATTTCAGTATCTCTAATGTATGTCTGTGTGTCTGTATATCTAATGTATGTCTGTGTGTCTGTATATCTAATGTATGTCTGTATTTCTG